AGGTGCGGCGGCCCACCAGATCCAATTGATTATTATTATTATTAATATTATTATTATTGTTGTTGTTGTTGTTTAGTAGTTTATTGCACAGCCTTACTGCACAAGCTCATTCCAACAATATAGGAGCAAAGTATAACACAAGCATGAAAGGAGTCACAAGATCAGGTAAGTGAGTTCCTGTTTCTGTTTCCCAACGTGAAATCCAAACATTACGAAAGACCCACGTGGCTGAAGTGATGTGCGGTGTTCAGACGATCAATTATTCTTTTGTTTGCCGTCGTTGGGTAAGGGCCAGACATGAACGTAAACGTCTTATATGATGAACGTAAATGGGATTAGGTTTACAACGGCTGTACGTTGCATTAGCTCAATTAGCGCACAGCGGGGGACACAGTGCATTTGCCTTGTCTTTACAGTTCCTCATCAAAACGCTGCTGTCAATGGACATCCCGCCAAAGGTGGCTCTTCTTAAATCAAACTACTGATGGCCAGCACGTCCAGAATCTTTTTGTCATTGATGGTACTGTACTCGTCTTTCCCTAAGCGACATGATCTTTTCCATGCTTGACTTTCAGCTTGAACCACATCACTCTGTTTACTGTATGTGTTGCATGCATTTACCCTTTGTCCCGCCTGCTATGTGTTCTGGTATGCAGCTAAAGGTCGAGCCCCGGTGGAGAGTGGTCTGGCAGGGGCCCGATAAGGGGGGTGCTGGGGCTTGAGAAAAACTGCAACAGCCAAGACCAACATTACGGTGGAGCATCGCAAGCAACTGTGAATTGAAAGAATGCTTGCTACAAGAGGCGATAATCACGTGACGGGTTTTGTAGTTTGATTTCACAGGCTGTTCACGGCGACACGGGTGTCAAGAGCGGCAAGTAAGGTGCACGCCGTGCAACTCTTGAGCTTTTTGTTATTCCAGAAACGTCTCACTTGTTGATACCCACAGCATGACTTCACAAAACACTTTTGCGGTCTGTTCCTGAGAATGTTACAAGTCAGAACAGCTAACACACACACACACACACACACACACACACACACACACACACAAACACACACACAAACACACACACACACGCATACAAATAGCATAGCAGTCGTCCTCTTGGCCTGAAAAAAATTAGGCATGATTTCAAAAAAAAGTCCTTGTGGAAAATGCTTCTAGTATGACACGAGATTACAACAGTACTGCAGATAGAAATAGCATAGCAGTCGTCCTCTTGGCCTGAAAAAATTATGCATGATTTAAAAAAAAAAAGTCCTTGTGGAAAATGCCAGCTTCTAGTATGACACGAGATTACAACAGTACTACAGATAGATAGTCGTCTATGTCTGCATATTAGTTGTTTCATTTGTTTTCATTTGATTGATCTTGCTCTCATGATTTTATATCAGAAAAACCTGGCATTTGAACAGCGGCGTCTAGACAATTTGGGCTCTCCTTTCATTGACAGTGCATCTGTGCCGCGATTCAATGATTTTCGGATCAGCCCAACGCTCGCTATGTATGTTTGCCAATTTTGCAGAATGGTCTCCGCCAAGTTGGGCAGGTCGATTAGAGGAAGGCGTGGCGGAATGACAATTTGGTGACAGGAAGTCGATCTAAACCTTACATCTTAGTGGCCGGTGAAGGGTACGCCGCTGGTCTAATCAACCGTCTGAAACATTGTGTTCCATTTTTTTTAAAACCATCCCATAGGGCGGCACAGCTATGAAAAGGGGCACTTGAATGATCGATCATAATCACAGCACATATGTGCTGCTGCCATATTGAGAATGCGCAACGAGTACACCGCATCCTCCTTTGTTTGTTGGTGCATCCCAGTCTGATGGATGCATTTAATTTGACTTTGTTTTAACAGTTTTCGCAACTACTCAGGCGGTGCTTTTTTGAAGGGGAGGAAAAAAAACGCTTAGCAAAGCAGCAAAGGCAATGCCAGTACTGCGCAGCAAAAGAAAACCAGCTCTGAAGTTGAAGTTATCCAATTTACTGGATTCTTTGTTGAATCCATAGCATGTCCCACTATTTTTGTTGCTGACACAACTACTACCGCTCCACCCACACACCCAGTAGAACCAAACCAAATCAGGTTTTCATTGCGAGCTGGACTGAGCTGTACCAGTTGGTGGAAAAGTGAGTTACATCACACAAAATAAATGCGGTCGAACACTCTTTCCTTTACACCATTGCTGTTGTTGACTCTGTGCAGAATTTTGTGGATGGGTGTCTGCCATTTTGTTATGCAATCTATCTTTGCATCTGTGACCTTGTTCCCTGAAGAATTCACATTGTTGAAAGATGTGCTAGTGGAACACTTTGGAGGTTACCTTGAGCTGGTGGGGAATCTGCCAGTTGTGTCATTTTCCCCTCACTGGCCGACAACCAAATGAAGCAAATGATTCCCACTGAGAGAAATGCGGCTCAAGGCAGACTCACTCTTGTGTATGGCATATGCATGCTGGAGGTCTCGCCTTTTTCGTCAGAACACATGAAACTGCCGACGGTGTCTCTCCCTGACCACGTCGGGAATTCTGTGTGTGTTGGGCACGCGCTTGCTCTGCTCTCGTGTGACCGCAAAGGCAGTAAGAAATGTCAGGAAACAACCCCACCCCTCGCTCTATCTCGAATCCATAAGTGCAACACAAAACCTCACACATTCATTACCATTAAAACATGCGTGCGTACGTGTGTGTGGATGATGTACGTCATGGAAGTGGCCTCCCCTGTGTGATACCTATGTATATGAATGAATGGCCTTTACACAGCCAGCTACTCCTCCCCGGGAAATCCATGACCACAATTTCCGCAAATAGAGCATGACTTGCTTTAACTATAACTAATGCATCAGCAGCAGGTTTCCAACGGGGCCACATGTGACAGGCTGACTTGTATGTCCTTCCGATTGCTTGTGGGGAAACATGTTCTCAAAAAGCGCGTGTGTGTTCAGCAAACTGTCTTATTTGATGACTTGTGCCACGCTGTAACAAATTCAAACGTGTGCGCATTTAGTCAGTGAGTGAGACATTCAAAGGCAGGGCCGTGGAGAGGTACAGGCAGTGTGACGCAAGCAACAATGAGTCAGACAAACGTGTACCCTGAGTCATAGCATTGTTTCTTCTCCAACAGGTTGGTTGGATAACTGTTTAATGAGCCCATTCAGAACTGCGCACATACTGCTTCCTGCAAAATTCAAATTCTGCTTCAATGTATGTTGAAAGCAACATCATATCGATCTAGCTTTCGAATCGAAGCGTCATGTCGACTTAATGGTGTCGATGACAGACTAGGATGTAACCATAGCAACTCCAAGCCTGTCACCCATGGAAAACAGCACGTCATATGTCCATGTTAGGTTGTCACTGTTTCCAGCACAAGTGTAAACGCCATCAGGAACAAGGATTTTTTTTCATTTTAAGTATGCTTCTATGATTCTTGTGTAACATCAATACAGAGAAGATTCGCACGTTGTAAGTAATCCATGTGCGAAATGCAAGCAATGTGCACATTTGGTGTTAATAATAGTATTCCGGAGACAAAATGCAACCGTAGTAAAAATGATCCCTGAATTATTTTTTAATACCAAGTAGCTCTGGGGCCTCACTAAAATCTGCACTCGAGGAGCAATTTATTTATCAAATATAAAAGACGAAATTGATTTGAAATCACCTTTTTGCAGGGGCGTATAATTATATAATTGTATTCCTTCCTTCCATACTATCAGAACATACAGTGCAAGACCTATGAGTCTTCTCTTCCACTTTTCCTATGTTTCCAATTTTGTCGTAACAATGTCCCTCAAAACCAGTTACACCTATCAAAACAAGGAAGCATTAACAGCAAAGTTATTCTTTTTTTGTTTTTATTGCTAAGGTTGTATCATCAGGGAGACAAAGCAGGAGTGGGGATTGTACTAAAAAAAATGTAGTTATTTCCCCAAAATAAAACAAAAAGGCAAACAAGGGAAGTGGAATCAAATGAATACAAATCCGAAAACCAAGACAAAAAGTATCAAAGCAAAAATGGGACCATGAAACCTTTTCATCTGGATGGCACGTGGGTGCATACTGTGTTGCTTAATGCCGTATCATGTAAGTGGAGAAAAGACTTGATTGGAGGTTACAGCACAATCTATGGTATGGAGGTGCTATTTGAACACAGATAAGACAGCAGCCTTGCGTGATAGTCAAACTTAGTGAAGGACTTACCTGCCATGTTCCTTCACAAAGGAAAACACACAGCTGTACAGTTATGCAAGCATGAGCCATGGTATTCGTGCGCTGGGTAGAAATAAAACATGAGCAAGGCTCTAAACTACTTGCAGACGTTGTGAGGGAACATTCTACGCACATGCTCACACACCCAGACACAGATAGGTGGCAGATGCCAAGTAAGAAAGGTCATTGAGTGCATCATGTAGTTGTCTGCTTTCAGCATTCACTGCATTGTTCACATCACCATGTAAATCAGTGAAATTTCCTCTGGAATGATAGCAATGTCCACTCCTCCATAATTTTCTTTTTCCATTTCATTGTCTTTCATGAAACACACACGCACAGATACGCACGCCATTGCAACAACTCTGTATTATAAAGTCTGCCTTCACTCAAAAAAAAATATAGAATGGCACTCAGTCGTGCACCATACCATACAACTCTAAGCACGTTTAATTATACTTCTGTTTAATGAGATCATGTCATTGAACTTCAGTCCTCTAAGCGGCGCTAATGAAATGACCACGTTAGGGGGGAAAATGCAGATGCGAGTCACTAACTATTTCTTCATGCAATCGCCGTATGTGCTTCGTTCGTAAAGAGTAACGGGTGCTTATTGAAGTGGAACTCAAGTCAAAAATGTTCTTCCAATGCGTTCTCCGTGCAGCCGTTTTGACATTTCTACTGCCGCCTGCTGTCGACAGAAATTGCAAACGTCACGGCTCGCTTGGGTTCCGGGGTTGGTCACGTGACACTCGCATTGAACCTCGAATATATTGAAAGGAAAAGATATTTTTTTACTTAACTTCCCCCTTTCAGGAATTTGTTTAAAGGGGATCCCTTTATTTGCTGTAGTGCATTTCAATAAGTATATTAAATAATCCATCCAGTTTCTATACTGCTTCTACTGTTCAGAGTCCCAGGTTAGCTGGAGCAAAAGGAGGACTTTACTACACTACTCTGTTAGCCTTGTTTTGAGATAGACTACCCACAAATTTGGATTACGTGGCAGCAAGAGGAACAAAACTCTATCATAAACCGAGGACCTTTGTATTATTTTTGAAATCATTGGTCGATTGAATATATTGTGATAAATAAAACACAACAAACCATGTTCTATGTTGCTTTATGTCCCTCCTGGAAAGGTAGAGCTCCCCTTTTACAGATGCCATGAGTGTTGCGGTCAAGAAGTGTGCTATGATGACACACCCCAGTAGCGAAAGTCATTTTACAGTTGTTAAGTGGCATCAAATCATACATTTATCCCGAAGAAAGAAAAAGAGTCCACACCATTTGGAATGCAGCCTTTATTTAGGGAAATGGAACTTTTATTGTCAATTACACAAAAGGGCCCCTATTTGAGAAAAGACGGTAATTACTGTGGATTGTTTCTCGCAGCTCAACAACACCATCAAGATTAATTCAATTGCTTTTAAATAATCCTACAAACACAAACAATCCTTCTTGGTGGAGGTAATCATGCTTGGTATCAGACAAAGTCATCATATGAGCCTGTACCGCCTTTTCTTTCGAGATGTTTCCCCAAGCTAACAGTCAGTGCTGCTGACGAATACACTATCCTATTATCCTTGCCCGAATTAATCCTCCTTCAGCGATGCACTTTACACACTTATGGACTCACTCACTGCACAAGTATAGATGACAACAGAAGGTGAGACATATTTCAACGAATAACGCCAGGAAATATGTCAGATATGCAGGACGCCCTTCTGCTGGGTTTAGAGGGCGTCAAGAAGAAAATCTTGCATGGTGGGACCGGAGAAATCCCCAAATTCATCACTGGGGCAAAGGTAATTCGTTTGGTCTCGGGTACTTCATTTTCTGTGGTAATTGTATTTGGGGAGTTGACGATTGATTTTAAAACGTTTAATGCGATCAACTTCGGGAAATCTGTTTCAACCCAAATGGGCGACTGATGTAGCTGCGTTTCACATGCAGGCCAGTAGAGGGTGACACAGTATCAGAAAAAAAATCACTATTTTAGATTCATTTCAGGAGTAGAGCATATTCGCTAGTACTTCATTTTCTGTGGTAATTGTATTTGGGGAGTTGACGATTGATTTTAAAACGTTTAATGCGATCAACTTCGGGAAATCTGTTTCAACCCAAATGGGCGACTGATGTAGCTGCGTTTCACATGCAGGCCAGTAGAGGGTAACACAGTATCAGAAAAATCACAATATTTTAGATTCATTTCAGGAGTAGATGATATTCGCTCGACAGCTATTTCTTTTCATATGCACGATGGAAAAAAATCTAATACATTCAAAGGTTTTCCAGATGCTGCACTAAATGTGTAATTTTCCAAAAATAATAACATTAACACTGAACACTTCTTTTTATGAGAAATAATTATATATTTTATATTGTATACGGTAGATTTTTACAAAATTGATTGTTTTTTTTTTTAATAGAAAATCAGCACTAGTCAAAAAAAGTCATGCAAAAGTACATTATAGCATGAATAATGTGCAACAAAAAAACATGTACAGTTTTGTTTCCTTTTTGACCTGCTATAGAACAAAAGAGAAGATTGCATTGTACTGCATCCTCTTTTCTCCTGAGTCACTACAGGGGCTGTTCATCACAAAATACACACGCATACACAAGAGAGGTGTGAGCGAGGCTTCCATGAAGCCACGTTCTTGCACAACAGAAAAAAACTTGGCAACGTGCTTTCATTTTCCATGGCAGTTATACAACCATTTGCTGGCCTGTTGAATAACTATGTTCATATGTGATGTAACATATTTATCCCACAGAATTGAAATAGCTTTGGAGTTGTCTATTCGTAACATGTTCGAGTAGCACCACCTTTAGTCGCAACCCACAAATGAGATGTTTCCATTTCTTCATATCATTGTAGAGGCTCAAATTGAGCTTCATGTCAGGGGTCGATGCTTGTTTTGTTTCAGGTGACCTTTGACTTCCGCACCACACTGTGTGATGATGAGCGCACGGTGATAGATGACAGCAAGGCTGTGGGCACCCCCATGGAGATAGTGATTGGCAACATGTTCAAACTGGACATCTGGGAGATGCTGCTGGCTTCCATGAGGATCGGAGAGGTGGCCGAGTTCTGGTGTGACACCATTGTGAGTAGAAAACGTACAATTCTGAATTTCAACATCCCACCTCTCACCCAAACTCAACTGCGACAGGCTCCATCTCATCTAAAACAAGGACGTGGATGAAGTGCTAAAAGAACAATTTCCTCATCCAGTATTTCTGTGAGTGGTCTCGAGGAGAGGCTTTTATTATAAGTGGATTCATATAACACTGCACATTCAGTATCTATTGCAATATGTAATATTGATCAAGGAGGTTGCCAAGTGATCGACAGCAAGTATACTGTTACATTTGGCAATCTTGTGTCTTCTGCATACAGTAGAATTTAGAATTTGCGCTAAGGTGGAAAGACTTATCTTACATAGAATTAAAACTCACTTTAAATGTCCAGAATGCACATAGGTGTGTATGTATTATGTCAGTGTTTTGCTTCGATGAAACCAAGAGAACCCGGCGAACAGTTTGGAAGATATGGTGGACAAGCCAAAAATAAAAAAAGAATGGAAAAAAAAAAACAACACTCAAACCACTATGGAGTAGCTTGTGTAAAAGTTACTTTATCTTTTCATATATATATATTTTTTTTTTTCCCTTCGACCAGTAAACCAGTGTGTGTGTGTGTGTGTGTGTGTGTGTGTGTGTGTGTGTGTGTGTGTGTGTGTGCGCGCGAGAGAGCAAGACATATGGGTGGAGGCAAACCGTCATTCATCTGCAGCCGTCTCACTTTTGCCTAATCGGCTCGGATTCCTGCCGACTCAGCAATACTGCCATTCCTTCGCTCTGATTAGATGTGAAGGGGCTCAGAGTGTTTAGTCCCTCTACTGACTGACTCAACACACATACACATACACATTGACCCACAACACACATTCCACTTTATAGAAGGCACTCAGCAAAATATGAGGAACATGAAAATCTCTACGTTCAGTAAATTCCCCCAACAGCCCACTACGAACCAGGACATTATACTGCTTTTTTTTTTTTTTTAATGTTGTGTTTCATTATTGCTTCATCATCGTATTTACACTTGTATGTACACTTAATCGGTACTTCATAAAATGAATATGAAATGAAAATGAACAATTATAGGGTCCATTGAAGGGTTAAAATTTGAAAACATTCGCCAAAGGCCATGAATACATTGAACAATATCACTATCACTGTAATTTGAGGTCAGAATGAGGGAGGACGTGAAGTACCGCCATGAATGATCATACAAATACCATCAATAAAATTCCGTTGCCACTCGCAGAGTAGCGGCTTATTCAGTTGTCACGTTTACGGGCCATAAATGTTTTCACTTTGACGCATTGTCCTCCCAAGCACACCGGCGTGTACCCGCTTGTGTCCAAGAGCATGAGACGCATTGCAGACGGCAAAGACCCCGTGGACTGGCACGTTCGCACGTGTGGCATGGCCAACATGTTTGCCTACCACAGTCTGGGCTACGACGACCTGGATGAGTTGATGAAGGAGCCCAAGCCTCTCTTCTTCATTCTGGAACTGCTCAAGGTGGGACCGGAAGCCAAAATGGTGGGAGTACCTGCGTGTCAAAACATGTCCAGCCTAGTGAGAGATGTGAGTGTGTGACAGGTGCTGCAGCCCAGTGAGTACAACAGGGAGTCTTGGGCGTTGAATGATGAGGAGAGGCTGAAGGTGGTACCCGTGCTGCACGGTCAGGGGAACAAGCTCTTCAAGCAGGGACGTTACCAAGACGCCACGCTCAAATACAAGGAAGCCATCATTTGCATCAAAAACGTGCAGACAAAGGTGAGCAAAGAGAGCAGCTTAAACACGCTGAACTGAAATGTTCTCACACACTCAGTACAGGTGTCAAGCTCAAGGCCCGAGGGCCATATCTGGTCCATCGTATCATTCTATGTGGCCCGTGAAAGCATCGACTTCTTGTTGCGTGGTAATATAGCCCAAATTGCAAATTGCCTTCATTTTTTTAAAAAATGATGAGGTATTCCAAGCATTTTTTTCAAAACTAGATATTCATCCATTTGCTGTGTACAAGTAATATGAAGTGATCATACATTTATTTGGGTCATGGTCATAATGGCCCTTCGAAGGAAACCACAACTAGGATGTGGCCCGCAGCAAACATGAGTTGGCCACGAGAGAATTTTGGTTTCACTCGCAATGACTGCAATGCTCTCTCACGCACACACAATTAAATTGCTCTCACGTGCACTAATGATTTTTTTTTTTTTTTTGTCGCTCTCACTCTCTTACACTTTTACACAGACTACTGAACTTTTTATTCCACCCACGAACACCTATGAAACAGGCTGATATTCACTACAGATTTTATTTCTTTTTGCTGACACGCGCACTACCGAAATACTCACGGTGACACACAAATGAAACCTTCTCACATGCACCTGTGTAAAACTTGCATGAGTGAAATCCTCTCACACATCATACTGAAACACACCTACAGGTATATCAACGGAAAAATGCGTGTATGCTTGTAAACAAACTGGAATTATCTGACACATTATGCTTATGTTTCAAGAATGTCTGAGTGTGTTTCATTAGCCTGTGAGAGAGTGTGAGCTTGTTTTTTTGAAGTGTGCGAGAATCAACCCTTACATACATGCTAGCACACTTGGCGATGCACATTGAGAAGACAATTAGCATGTGACGTGTTTGTCCCAGGAGAAAGCATGGGAAGCTCCATGGCTGAAGCTGGAGAAGATGGCCCACACCTTAACACTCAACTACTGCCAGTGTCTCCTACGCATAGAGGAGTACTATGAGGTCATCGAACACACCAGTGACATCATTAACCAACACCCAGGTTGGATGCAAACCACACACACACTAGAGTTTATTATCCGCTTATCCTCACAAGGGTCGCGGTGGGTGCTGGAGCCCTATCCCAGCTGTCTTCGGCCAGTAGGCGGGGGACACCCTGAACCAGTCGCCAGCCAATCACTTGGCACACAGAGACGAACAACCGCGCTCACACTCACACCTAGGGACAATTTAGCACGTTCAATCAGCCTGCAATGCATGTTTATATATATATATATATTTTTTTTTTTTTAATTTTTTTTCATGTTTGTAGTCATTAATGTGTTTCACTTTATAAGCAACAACGAGACTTATAAAAGCGGTTCATGTTGGTCCCTAGGTGTCATGAAGGCCTACTACCTGCGTGGGAAGGCCCATTTGGAGGTGTGGAATGAGGCTGAGGCCAGGCAGGACTTCAGCAAGGTTTTGGATCTAGACCCGGGCATGAAAAAGGCTGTGAAAAAGGAACTGGCAGTGCTGAACATGCGCATAGAGGAGAAGAACGAGGAGGACAGGAACAAATACAAGGGCATGTTTTGAAGTGACTTTGACATGCAAGGAGGCACTTCACAAACTTTATTTAAAAAAAAAAGATTATCATATTGGATTTGACTCATTTGTTGAACTGCTCTCTCTATGTTTGCTAAGTTCATGTTTAATTTGTTTGGAAATCACTGTCACTATCCATGCACCTCTTATGAAGGGGCCTATTAAGTAAATCCTCGTCACCGGCGTAAAGAAAAAGAAAGTAATCCTGCGTCTTTCCACGAGGTGTCACTCAATCCACATGTACCGTCTGCTCGTGTTTGATTGCGGGTGTAGCAGGGGATCCTGCAGGAGTCATGAATCCAGCCCGCAGCGCAACTTCATGAGCAGCCCAGAGGCTCATAAAATGAAATCATGTGGGCTGTAGCTACTGTTTGTCTCTGTCTAGTCCCCGCTTTCTACAAGAACCGGGTTGTCGATTGTAGTTAAACAATCAACGTGTATTTATTCTTGTAGTTTGCAGTGGCTTAGCACTGAACTCCATCACACTGTAGGGCGTGTATAATGCCGTGAAGCTCGACGTCACTACAACAAACAATCATTTTACTTAGGATGTTAAGCAACAATTATTAGTACCTTTATTTAGGCTTTCGTTTACATTTAAGGGAATCCCCACTGAGTTGGCCACAATGGGGTAGCATCACTTAGGGAAAAGAGGCTCACGTTATGCAGAGGTCTAACGATAATGAAAATCAATGGGCGTGGACTGGGAGGGAAATGCACAGTGGATGGACGTTTCACATGAAAGTCCCACCCAGCACAGAATCACCACTATTGTATTCTGTCTGATACGTGCGAATTAGCTGCTTACAATACGCAAAGTGTCTAAGAATGTGTAAGGTGTTCCGACTCAAGCATTGTATTTGTATAGCTGTATATATAGGCTATTGCACTCGAAAGCAGACTTTGTGTGGGTGGATGATTTATGACTTGGGAAGACTGTGCCACAGGAACATGGTCGGAAAGTAAATTCTGCATAGCAGCACAAAGCCTTCCATAAAACACTGGTGCTGATGTTGAGAAAAGGAGGGGAGGTGTGTGTGTGTGTGTGTGTGTGTGTGTGTGTGTGTGTGTGTGTGTGTGTGTGTGCGCGTGTGCGCGTGTGCGTGTGTGTGTGTGCGTGTGTGTGTGTATGGGGGGGGGGGACTCCCTGATTGACTGCTCTGCTCAATCAACATCAGCAGCATCAAGTTAGACGGAGAGCTAAAAAGTCATGGCAGAAGTAAGGAAGTACAGCCTTCAAAATAAAACTCAGCAGGGCTGATATGGTACAATAGCTGTTCGGCGGCAGTTCAACAGATGCTTCACCAATGGACACTGGAAAAGATGGTACTTTTCACTCAAAATTAGATAATTTTATCCATGATCATTTGTATAAATAATTACATGTCAAGGGAAAGTGAAAACATGGAGACGATCATCAACAAAGCTCGAGCATATAAGTAATTCATCTATATTATTTTAAAATATTTGGTTGCATTGGGGATGGCAAATTGGGCAGCGGAGGCTCGGAGGGGTGTGCTCTATAACCCTGTCAGAAATCTCTAGCCCCATTTAAGGCCCTCCAGCATTTTATTTGACATTCTAAAATATAATTTTAATTTATTTTTCCGCTTCCGGTACTTATCTTCAGTTCCTGTTAACATTACTTTAACAGATGTATGTTGTAGAACGTAAATTAAGAAAGGACACGTTATAAATTACGTCGAGAAATATTTATGAAATGTACTGTATTTAAAAGGAATGAATACAACAATGTATACATGTCAAAAATAAATTACAATTGTACGAAAATTTAAAATCATAGGTATATAAACATTTAAAATACAATTGTCTGAAACTGCGCATGTATGCTCTATATTTGTGTCGAGAAGAACTATTTATTTTACGAATAGCTGCTGAACACATAAAACGTATCTTCAAACGTGACTCTTCACCGGAAAAGGAAACTATGGGTTTATGCAGCTTGACAAAGGTTTCGTCCTGTCTGGCAAGCCGCAGAGTGAATAGGGTGGAGGGACAAGAAGCTCAGACCAGCCTTTTAGTGGAGGACGGAAGGTGCACCTTTCTCGTCTTTTTCATTGAAAAGACTGGATGGAGTTCCACCTTGTTTGCTCCTCATCGGATCCGGCACACGTGTGTGATCCTGGAAATAACGCAAGTGTATGTGAATAAAGCAAAGTGATTAAGTGGAAAATTTTAAAAGTACTTCACGAGAGAGCGGACTCTTTTTTTTTTAATCTATGAGGATTTCACTCACAATCAAAAGTCACTTGTAAAACTTTTGCACGATAATGGCCCATCGTCAAGATTAAATTTGGGAACAAACAAACGAGAAGAAGCAATTTGGACAATTACGTGATCGAGGCGAGCATGGCTATCAACACGGACTGCGACTTCCTCAAGTCCAACCTTGGCGAGGGCGGCGGTGGAGGAGGAGAAGCCGGCGCCCAGCTAGCTGACTTCCAGGAGACCGAGAAGCTACTGGCCGTCACCAGAGAGCCCGCGAGCCAAGGGCTCAAAATGTCCTCATCCTTCTCCATCAACATGGACCACAACCAGGCCAAGGGACCGGAGGCGGACCGCAACGGCCACGGGATGAACGTCCGATCGGGCTCCGCGGGGCAGCTGACCGCCGCCGCGCCCCTCTCACCGTCCAAAGTCAGCCTGAGCCGCTCGTCCACCGGCAACGCCGCGGTGCAGGAAAGCCCCCAGCCCCGAGACTACCTGATCCTCGTCATCATCTCCTGCTTCTTCCCCGTGTGGCCCGTCAGCATCGTGGCCCTCGTCTACTCCATTATGGTGAGTGAACCAAAAAAAAAAAAGAAAGTCACCAAAGCAACTTTAGCAGTGCAGCAACATAGAACACCTTTCGGCAATAATCATACTGGAAGATTTTTATTCAGATGTTGACAGACCTAGGAATTCATTTTGGAATCGTTCATTGAAAAATATTCTTTTAAGACTCTTCTTTTAACTGCCTACATTGTGCAACAAAAAGGGGATTTATTGTGGTATGAGATGTCAGAGCAAAGGTAATGAAAGTCACTGATCTGAATGAAACCTTTTTTAGTTTACCTCCGAGAGCCAAAAAAGGCAGTTGTTTCGGGTGTAGTGTTTATTTGTCACAACAACAAAAACTGGAGCACAGCACTATTTTCTGGAAACAAAGAACTATGAAATATAGATCGTTTAACTCAATATACAGTATGTGTAATACAGTGGTGCCTTCATTTATGAGTGACCCTACTCACAAGTAACATTTTTTTCTGAATACGGGCTACTACTCGGCCAATCTTTTTTTGTCTCAAGTTGCGAACAAAAATGTAAGTTACAAGTGTTATATGACGGCAATGAACTTCACAAGCATTAATTTGGCAGATAGTGAAAAATTCTTTTGAAAAGAGGCCAAGTTCTTGTTTCAGTCTAAATAAAAAGTAACCTTTACAATTGTGAAGAATCAAGAAATTGTTGTGTCATAGTGCCTTGTAGATATCGTTAGAATGAAAGAGCCGTTAATGGGCGGGATGCAAAATGGCGACTACGGTCATCACTAATTGATGTCTCTGATTGGCTCTAAGCTAGCGAATCAGTGCATGAGATAGTATACAAAAGCAAAGGAAAAGGTATCATCAAGTACAGTAATCGTAGCTCGTCTCAAAATGTTTTTGACCCAGCTTTTGTTCGTTTGCATTATGTTTGCATGATGAGTGGACATACGAATCACCCTGGTCAGCCCACTGAAAAATTTCTGGTTCCATCCTTCTGAAAAAGATGTTGACTCGACATGTCGACGCCACAATTCAACATTAGGTAGTAGAAGCCTCCGACTTCTTTGCTCATCATTGAAGAAAATTAGATGACAGTATATTGATATATTAATTCTTACTATAAACACAACAATCATGAACGAACAATGTGGACATGTTGTTACTGACAGGCTCCAGATCACTCATGGAAACTAGCGATAGTCTCTTTTCAATATTTCTAATCAAAAAGGATCAAGTCTTGAAGACCACATGGAAGTGACGTTCTTGAATGCTCCACCGAAAACCTCAAGGAGGTTGCGCGCATCCACCCATTTTCTTGACTGCCGACATTTTGCCCGATTGCAAAAGTTGGCTGGCTGAAACCAAAGTGAAGGCAACTCACTGAGCCCATTAGTTCTGTGACATCACTCCTTTGGGCTGCGCGCACACCTGAGGGAATATCAAGCAAGATCCAACCAGACTTACCATGAGTCTTCATCATGAACTTACTGACATACACTCGTCGGGCACTTGCTAATGGCTTGGAATATGTGTGTGCGTGCATATGTGTGAGAGGAAGTGAGCGAGGCATTGACAGCGAGCCATGAGAGGCAAAGTGTAGGAGAAGGAAACCGGATCTGGGACACTAATTCAATAGACGGTGAGAGAAGTCAATTTAGTTACTCTGCTGCAGAGAGCAGATTGTGCCAGTTTGCAGCGTTGCGGTGTGGCAGCAATAAACATCCGCTCCCCGTGCCGCGGCGAAAGCCGCCTTCTTCGCAAGGACGACGTGTGCGAGAGGAACGCCAAATGGATCCGGTGCACTTTCCGATCATTGGAATTGAATCAGATTATGTCAGATCAAGTGAGCCTGACAGAGAAAACAGGTTTACGATAGTGCTCGTGAGCAACTGATTTAAAAGTGAGCGAATTTGCTTCGAAAAGGGCTCGAATGGCTTGGAAACATGAAAAGGGCGATATAACCAGCACATATCACCAGACGGTGTGATTGAGTGCAAGAATGTGATCTCAAATACCGGTTGATGGACAAAAGCAAAGCAGAATGGCACTGACTAGCACATAGAACTCCACTGAGCCCGAACAATGTTCCACTTTGCCTCAATGCAAGTGGACAGGAACTGCAACCATTTTTCCGACAGTCCTTCCTATCCTGTTCAGGGGGTCAGGTGGAGCTGGAGCCTATTGGCACACTCCTCCCGGGACTTGGTCCCCGGTCAATCGCAAGGTGCGACTGTACTGATACCAATGTCATGATTTCATGCAGGTCTTTGAGTTTTCGCACAACCCTGCTGCCTAACTAAATGAAGAAGTGAACAAAACACAAATTACCGGAGTAAAATCTGAATGCAAAAGAGAGCATGGTTTGGGTTGTTCAGTAGTTGTCTTGTGGAGGGTGAAGCTAAGATGATTTTAAACCATTTGCAAACAGTACGTCACAAAAGTGTGTATACGTCTCCCATTTTTTTGTCAATTATTTCATTGAATGTTGACATGGGACAACACCGAAGAACTCACACTTTTTTATAGCCTAGGCTAGGTCAGTCATTCCTAAACCTTTTACATCAAGTACAACCTAAAAAAAAAAATACGAAGCACCCCTATTGTATCACCACAATGATGTAAATACAGTAGCATAGTAGGTAAAAGTGTTCTTGTAAATGTGACACAACAAATGGTAGTGATCTTTTTTATCAGCCGAACAATTGGCAACCCGCCATCGAGCTGCAGATCTGGGACAGATGCACACCGTGGCCGGCTAACACGGACGATGTGCGGCCAATTACAGGATCAGCCATGTGGGCCTAATGGCTTTTTACAGCCACCATATCCAGATAACGGCGAGAGCTGAACTGCAGCAGCCGTGCCCGCTCGGCAGATTTGCCGATGGCCTATGGATCAAAATATGTGCTTTCATGCTCATCACATGCTGCAAAGTGTTTTTCCACTCGGTCACTCTCTTTGTGATGACTTCAACCACTCCGCTGAGATATTCTTCATGTTAAATTGGCTTTTCTAATTGCATCTCATTATCCTTCGTTGCCATGATCACTTTGCTTGGTCATCTCAAATGATTCCAACCAAAGTTTTTCCTAATTGGATTTCCTTGCGCCAGAACAGCGTGAAATCAAGTTAGTGCACTCTGATGCATTTTTGTGACGATTACGACGATGTTACATTTGGCCGCCGTGAAACGTGATCGTCTGAACAAGCCTGTCACTTCATGTGTTTAGCTTCCGCCTAATGGAGGATGCTTATTATTTAGCATTGTGCTGACACTTTCTAGTGATTTCCACTCACTCGATGTGATGCCCCGGAAGATTGCTTGGAGAGATTTGTTGAGTTGATAAAAGTCCAGATATCCGATTGTATGCACGGATGGAACGAGGCGGGAGGTGAGATGGAGCACGGACGGCGCCCCGGGGAGCAAATGGTGTAAATGGAGCTGACTCAGTCCCATCCATGTAACGCAAAAAAGTCTGTCCAAATATAATTTATGAGTCGCGATGCATTTTATTGGCCCAGGAATGAGAGCGGTGACGTCGTGCTCCGAGCAGATTGGATCATCCAGCTGCATTGAGTGCGTTGCAATTTTAATGCCGATTTTAATGTCGCAACAGTGAGTCTAAAAGCTCTTCTGGAGGCCCCTCAGGGCTGCTCAACACCCAGGCAGCGCAAAGGGCCGGCAGTTTTAACCAACTTTGGGTGCTCCTCCAAAACTCCATACGCAACATTATGTGTGCAATTTGACTCCAAGAAATGTTTTCATTGAAAATAAAATGTCAGCCTAAATTGTGAAAGAACACGAAGCTCCTCAAGCAAAATGATCCAAAATGCGCGTTTAAAACATCGCCTTTGAATTGAAACGCAAACGTGACCATTTCAGATGCACACCAGCTCTTTGCTGTGCCCCTCACCTCGAGCCAGGCTGCTGCTGCTGCTGCTGCTGCCGCTCGTCCATTATTAATGACAAGAGAGAAGAGGAACATTTACTCACTTAGCGGGCTTCCTCTGCTGGAGCCACAAGAACGTGTGCAGCAAATGCAGGTGTGTGGGTGGGTGTGTGTGTGTGTGTGCTGATTCTGGATCAATACATACTCCCCCGGGATGGTCTTTGCCCCATTCACATTGCAGTACTGGAGATGAGAGGGTGCGGGATGTGTCTTTAAAAAATATGTCATATTTGACAGTCCTGGATTATTCCTAAAAGCCTGACTGTTTATAGGCCAACTAGTACACAATCACGGGGGGTGCTGGAGCCTATCCCAGCCGTCTCCGGGCAGTCGGCGGGGGACACCCTGAACCGGTTGCCAGCCAATTGCAGGGCACACAGAGACGAACAACCATCCGCGCACACACTCACACCTAGCGACAATTTGGAGTGTTCAATCAGCCTGTCATGCATGTTACCCGGAGAAAACCCACGCAGGCCCGGGGAGAACATGCAAACTCCACACAGGGAGGCCGGAGCTGGAATTGAACCTCTGCACTGTGAGGTCGACGCGCTAACCACTGGACCACCCACCGGCCTGTGACACAAAGAGAATGTTTTTTTTGTTTTTTTTTTTAACTGTGCATAAGACAGCTTTTTACCTTTAAATACTAAGCGACAAGAACTGTTCCTTCCTGTCATTTCAGGCCGACAAGCAAAAACATAACCAGAAAACGTTTGGTTCTCGTGCACTTGCTCTATCATTTTTGAAATTTGATTTATTTTTGGGAACATATTCCATTAGCTGTTAACAAGCCATTTCCCATTTTCTTTATTCCTACACTTAACTGATGTTTCTTGCACTCTTTACATCGGATCGTTTGCGGGTGTTGATGAGCATGTGTTTTTATGCGCCGCCAGTCCAGAAACAGTCTCCAGGCAGGGGACGTGGACGGGGCCCGACGGCTGGGTCGACTGGCTCGTCTGCTCAGCATCGTCTCCATCGTGCTGGGTGTGGTCGCCATCATTGTATTTGTCTCACTTTCAGGTACAAAAAAACGACAACTGTTCTGAAAACTTTCAATGCGCAGTCACCTCTAAGGGGAAACAATCTCTTTTGGGACCTCGGCTTTGGAAACGATTTTTCCAATCGGAAACAATGGGGACTGAATTCTGTTCCGACTGTCATCATAAAGCTTTTATTATGGATACACACAATGCTTGAAAACATTTGTTTCTTTAAAAAGCATAAGAACACATCTCAATTCATTTCAATGAATCAATGCAGTCCTTTTGTTTTCACTCAAAAGAACAATTCACTGGACGCATGTTTCATATGCATCAAGCTTTTATTATGGATACACACAATGCTTGAAAACTGTCGTAAGGTTCTTAAAAAAGCATAAGAACAGATCTCAATTCATTTCAATCAATCAAATCAAATCTTTCACTCGAAACAACAATTCACTGGACACATGTTTCATATGCATGAGGAGTTACATCAATGTGACATATGATGTTTGCGACTGCACGGCATGCACACATAGCAGGTGCCGAACAACAAACTGTCGTTACTGCTTTATGACAACATGGTGATATATGAACAGCTGACAAGCATGAACCTGTTTCTTTTGTCCAAGCTCAGCACATTTGCTTGCTTGTGCTCGTGTGTGTGTGTGTGTGTGTGTGTGTGTGTGTGTGTGTGTGTGTGTGTGTGTGTGTGTGTGTGTGTGTGTGTGTGCGCACGCACATTGGTATTTGATTCAGCATGCTCCACAATATGCAGCTGCCTACAATTAACCAACTTAAAGCTTTTCTCCCCTTTGTGTCTTTGGCAGCAATCAACTGACATGAACGGCATGACGGGGAAACAAACCAGCCGTGAAGGATGCAACACCCAAAAAGCCAACCCCACACCCCGCAAAAAAAGCGAGAAAAGAGAAATATTGAGCTCCTGTACATATACATAAAAGACGATACAACACCTGTCTCCTTCTACCACATTATAATTATGCCATCATGACCTTCAGAAAGCCAACCCTCACCAGATGGGTATTGCTGCAGCAAGCAGTCCGACATCCAAAATGCATGCATTCGACTCCACTCACATTTGCTTGACATATAAGAACGATACGAACCTGATGCAACGTCGAGGACGAAGATTTTCCGAGATGTCTGGATTTGCAAATTGCTTTTGGAATACAACTGCGAAAAGGAGTGGATGAGTTGAGCACAGACGACTTTTTCTACATCTGCGGGATGTTTGATCACTTTTTCTGTTTGGACGTCCACGTTTGGACAGCGCCTATGTAACCCTCATACGGTATATTCTTGCTGTGCCGAAGGCCTATACAGCTGAAACATGAATACCTTTGAGATGAACATTTGCTAACATGATGGTAATGTCAAGCTGGGACAGCGGAAGAATCGAATGAAATAGGGACGGGACACATTTGGAACGTTTTGTTGTCTTTCACCATTTTTTTTTTTTTTTTATTTAACAGTGAGCATATTTGCATGCCTGAATGTGGATGTGGAAATTCTGCCTGTGCATTACTGACTCTTTACCAGTCCAAAAGAATGAAATTAAGTGGAAACAGAAGGTGAGGTGTGAAGACTGAATTGTAACTCTAACGCATCCATCTTAACATTGGCAAAATATTATCGACATGACAAATACACCAACGCACACGTTGGATTCACTCATTGCGGACGTTTTGCTCCAAGTTCTTCACCTTGTGCCCTTAACCTGTTTACGAGAACGACCTCTCTATTTGTCCAACATCATCACTGCTACGTTGGGCTACAGTTAGAATTGTTTTTCATCTGTTTTTTTCTGCTCCTTGTATAGGGATGAAATATATATGTAAGGCAATATATGCAATATTTATGCATGTTGTATGAATTTTTTTGTAAGAGATGTTTTTCAATTTGAAGCTCAACATCCAAATTGAACAGATAATGTATGCACTGCAAACACACACACACACACACACACACACACACACACACACACACACACACACACACTCTGACTTAACAAGTAGGTATAAGCATAGGTTGAAACTTTGGTACACAAAGATTGTTTACTCACATTCTCTGCAGGAATAATGAAGTCAGTTGCTTCCAAATCATACACAACTATGCAACTACGAGATCGACAATGCTGACCTTGCCAAGTTCAACACATCCTGGCTACGTTACCACTTTCAAGCATATTTTTCATCCAACATCCAGAGGCAGCCTTATCCAATGATTGCCTTTATTTAGTACAAACCTAAAAAAAAACATTCACATTGGAAGTGAAAGCATTTACCAAGATTACACTGAATTTGGTCATCTGGTTTATTTATTTATTGTTTTACGCCTTGGTATCCCTAGGCTGGTGTAACGAGCATCTGCGATATGTGGTGGACATTTTGCATGTTTGGAATAAATGTTAGCATGCATGGCTGACGTTTTTGTCTTGGCGTTGTTTTGTAAGGTTGAAACTGTTTAAATGCTTTAAATACACTTTTCTGCTCTCGTGGAATGGAAGTGATGAGATGTTTATGATAACATTAAATTTGCAGTGGCTGATTGGAATGTGTCCGTTAATGAGGCAGCGATGAAAAGTGTAAAATAAAAAAACACCACCAAAAAAGAAGTATAACCTTGCCTTAGATATCGTCGCTAATCAAAAATGGCCAATCACAGGGCACATAAACAATGATTTACATTCACACCAACGTACAATTTAAAATATGCAATGCTACACTCACTGCGTATGGGCCACTTCATGAAGAACATCCATGTAATCTAATGAGATCCAATATACAAGATCTACATTTACAATCATTTAAAAACAATGAGAGCTATTTAATGGTTTTATGATTGTGATTGGAGTTTGCATTGATGTACAGCATCATACAGAGAGAATTATTTTATTTACCTGCATAGGAAAGGCAAAATAAACACAGATACAACGATCTCTACATATAACCTATATACTGTATACTGTGGCCCAGCTGACGTTTACACTCAAGTAATGGACATGATGTAAGAGTGCTTGAGTTCGAGGACGCAAACTGATGGCCGGACTTTCTCCTTCAGGATTTTCTGGTAGACAGCAGAATTCATTGTCCCATCAATCACAGCAAGCTGTCCTGGTCCTGAGGTAGCAAAGCAGCCCCAGACCATCACACCGCCACCACCACACTTCACAGTTGGTATAATGTTTTTTTTTGTTTTTTTTGTTTTTTTTTAATCAAACGCTGTGCCACTTGTACCCCAGACATAGCAGGCCACAGATCTTCCAAAAAGTTCAATTTTTGACTTATCAGACCACAGAATGTTTTTTCCGAAAGTTTTGAGGATCAACAAGATGTCTTTTGGCAAATGTTAGACGAGCCTGTGTGTTATTTTTGGACAGCAGTGGTTTTTGCCTGGGAACTCATTTTTGGCCAGTGTCTTTATGCTAGAGTCGTGAACACTGACCTGAACTGAGGCCAGCAAGGTATGGAGTTCTTTGGATGTTCTAGGTTCTTTTTCAACCTTCTGGATGAGTCGTCGGAGTAATTTTAAGCTGGTCGAGCCCTCTTGGGAATGTTTGCCCCGTTGCAAGTTTTCTCCATTGGTGGATCATGGCTCTCACAGTGGTTCGCTAGAGCCCCAGAGTCTTGGAAATGGCTTTGTAACCTTTTGTAGACTGATAGATTTAAATCATTTTTTTTCTAATTTCTTTCGATCGTGGCATGATGCTTAGGCTTGTTGAGATTTTGTGGCCTACTTTACTTTGTATGACAGATTCTATTTATGTGATTTATTGATTCAACAAATTTGGTACTCTGGTGTTACCTGTGAAATTGAATTCAGCTTTCCCAAAACAGTCGTTTGTCACATTTACTTTGTGATTCAACGGGGGGGGGGG